GGAAGTGCCCCCTCCAGGGTCCCGGAAAAAAAAGAAAAAACAAAAATAAAATGTTATAAAAAAAAAAAAAAAAAAAAAAAAAAAAAAAAAAAAAAAATTCTCTGCTTGAAAAGTAAAAAATGTTCAACCTTTGAAATTCTTCCACACTTTGTTTTTTACAGAAAATTTCTGAGTTTTTTTTTCTAGCAAATTTTAAAATTTTTAAACATTTTCTTTGTTCTTTCTAGATTTACGTACAATAAACCGTAATAGGTCATTGTTGTTTTACATGAAAATGACAAAACTGTAAAAAAGTAAGCACACAGTTTACCTCTTGAGGAAAATGTGCGGCCTCGAACAGGGTGAGGATTGCTCTCCTCGTCTCACAACGACTCCATCATCCAGCTGAATGTGACTTAACAACCTCCTGTCAGCACGCATGTAATATAAGCATCCATGTGAAAAGCAGCAGCTGTTATTAAACACACCTTCAGGTATCTTACCGTCTGGCATCAGGTTGTCCTTTAGGCTTCCATCTTTTCATCAGGACCCATTGGTCACAGGTCAGAGACTTGGGATCTGGAAGACAAACCAGACCGTAAGAGTCCATGTGAGATGAGGGATTAGATATTTCTTATTCCAGTGGCTTTCTTTAAAAGTTTATGAGGAATAACAGCTTTTTTGAGAATAAATGTAGAACAGAGGATGAGGTAAACCATGTCCATAGCTATTCAGATAAATAACGGTGTACACTAGGGCTGAAACAATTAATTGTGATTAATTTATCATTGTAATAATTGTCAACTAATTTAGTAATCAATTAATTGCTTCCCGGATTACACAGACTCAGAAAAAGGAGATTTACAGAAAGAAACAAGACATTCAAGCAATAATCCAGCCAGAACTGCACAATATACATGTACATTTTGCACTTAAGATAAAAAATACCTGTCTGTAAATATGTGGCAGTGTTCACTTCACCTGGTTCAAATTCACTAGAGGAATGCTTTGCTTCATTTTAATTTTAAGAAATTGGCTTATTTGTTTATTTTCATTTTTTTAATATATATTTCTAATATTGTGTAAAAATAAAAAGGCATAAGTGGTTAAATTAAAAAAAACTTTAGAATGTGGTAACTTTTTAAAATCAGATTAATTACCAGCTTAATTAATAGATTCATCAATAACTCAAATAATTGTTAAACGCAGCCCTACTGAATAGGCACAACGTTATGACCAATACTGATCATCTTTTCGACCAGGAAATGAATTTATTAGAAATAAAGCAATTGTACGAGCATGAGGATGTGAGCGAGTCTGACGAAACGACCTGATGCATTGTGGGAAGAGTGTAAGAAGGCGGCGACAGCATGACGCTTTGGGGGATGTTGTTCTGCTTGGAAATGTTTTCCAGGAATTATTGGAGGTTATGAATGAACGAATATACTCTATTAATCCCCAGAGGGGAAAGTCACATTTCAGTAAATGATTATGATTATGTAAATCATGTCATGGAAATGGTTTCCCTCCCTAATTTCAGGAAACGCTTCTCTAATCTAATCTAAGATAAAGTATTAAACATACATTTCACTAAGCTCGCATTTCTGTATTAAAATATTGCAATGATTTCATTGATCTGGTGTAATATTCAAATTTTAAATGTCACGTTTTCACTAAATGCAAGTAGATCATCATAAAAAACCCAAAAAACTCTGTAGCAGTGTTAGACTCCCTATACATTAAACCATTAAATGCATTCCTATTTTCTCATCCACGATTTTTTACACCATATTTTACTTTTTAATTTCTCTTAGCACAGGACTTGTATGAACTAACCATTATCTAGAAGTTTGCTTCTGATCGGCGTCTTCAACCTTTTAGCCTTCTCATAGAGCTTATGGCAAGCTGAGCAAACGTCATTGTAAAGCTGGTCTCTGTAATCACAGCACAGAGCGGACGGTCCTGAAACTATGCTGCTGTTGCTGCTTTCAGAGCCACTTTCATCATTTGACTTATCCAGTCCATAACTGAGCATGCCAACAGCCTCCCTCGCGGCCCCTTCCTTGGCAAAAGGATTGCTGGTGATGAGGTCGATGATGTCACTTCCCTCACTCTCATCTGGGTGGGTCTCCTCCAACCGCGGCCTTCCTCTCTGGCTCCTACGGAGAGGCCGAGCGACGTCTTTGTCTGATGCAGGACTTTTCTGGGGGAACTTCAGTCTGGAGGATCGTCGGAGAGACATGGGCGTCGTCCAATTCAGGGTGTACTCAAATGATCTGTGGAAGAGCAAAAGAAATTGATTACAAGGGTACACGTTATGCTGTTCCCTGTGGACGAGCAATCAAAAATAAGGACTTTTATGCGTTTCCTTTCAAAATCCTATGAGCTCACCTGTAGTATTCGACTTTTATGGACAGTGAGTGAGATACATCAAAGTCATTTGTATCATACCTGCAACATTTGGAGACAAAAAATAATAATAATCACGACAGATATAGAAATATTACAGCTGCAGATTAACTAAAACATGGTGTTCCTTTCCCTCATTGTTGACATCACATCAATAATAGGCAACCTGTGAAATTTAGTTTTCAGAGATCAATGTTTTCTTCACTAAATATTTACTCTTGAAATGTTATGATACTGAATGAAAATACAATTCACAACCTGCAACGTCCAAGTTACGTCAGATTTTAGGATACATTTTTGGCAGGTAAATGTATTGTAATCCAATGAACGATTAACAGGCGGATCAGTAGCTAAACAGTATGAAATTAACTTTTATTATAGAACGACAAAAAAATAAAACGACAAAAAAATAAAACGACAAAAGCTAAGCGAGGCTTGTAAAGACCCGTGTCTTGATCGAAAAAGTTCAAATCCTGGCGAAAATTAACACTTTTGTTCAGCTAAAGTTTGAACCAAGGGGGAAACCAAGCTAGGCTAAAAACAAACAGAACATTCAGAGCGCCAGGTTCGGCGCTCTCTACTGAAACCGTGTTCAGATTTTAAACTCACGTCGGCTCACTTCCCTCACAGTTTTCATCTTCAGACATGCTCCTAGCTGCTTCATTCATCTACTAAAACTAGAGGAAGATTACCGCGCTTACACATCGGCTCGCGCTGGGATTTGCGGCTCTCGGACGTCATCAACTAGGAGTCGGAGGAAAGGTGCGCGCGGCGGTCCATGGAACTCTGATGAGCCAATCACGAGCCAGCACTTCTATCCAGACTTCCTCTACGGCAGAGAAGAATTACATTACAACGCCACCTGCTGGCCATGAGCGGTAGCGGTGAAGTAATTTCATATTTTTAAGAAGGATTTAAGAATTTTAAACATATTTCTCTGCTCCTAACTGGGTCATTGTTTTTAAGCTATCTTATATTTCACATTTGTCAATCGCCACATTTCTGTCTCTACCTATATTGCATGACTCCAAAATATAGATTATTTTTCTAATATTAGAATTTTAAGTTTCCTTAGTTCAAGCTGACTTCCCCTACTATTCGTGCTTCTATGTAGAGCTTTTTGGCCACATTTTAACTTCATGATTAAATTAATTCAAAATTCTTCAATAATTGCTTCTTTGTCATTATAATATTGTACTACATTGGTAGTAGTTGTAGTAGCTGTATGTCGATTTTGTAAATGATCAATAGAATAATAAATTGACTATAGGCAATTCTAATTACATTTTCTAAAACTAAAATCAATATTTTGAAGATCTTTCAGTCATTCACAGATTTCTATATATAAATAAATTTGCACTTTGAAGATTTGACCTTATGCCTAGATCCTATCACCATAGAAACAAAATTAAAGTTGGGGAAAAATGCTCAGGTTGCTCTTACGAATGGTCACCAACATGTTTGTTTCCCAACATGCTGTAACACAATGAGAGGAAAGGCCAAACACCGACTTGGCCCAGTATCAGTGGTGCAAATTCCACAACTTTTTCCCCGACTGAGATTACTGAAGTTTGTATAAACACTCATGAATCCCGTTATTGACGCCCGCTGAACTTTACCTCAGTTCTTTGACTGACAAAACATCAGCAACAGGAGAAATGTAATCACTTAGTAACTACAGCCTAAAGAATCAACAGTCTGACCTCTGACTACACTAAACTGAGATAATTGCTATTCTTTTGTTAAGGACTTTGAACACATGTAACTCTACCTCCTAGAGGAGCTCCGACAGGAAGAGAAGTGAAAAGTTCACACTTGTTTTCAGAGGAGAGCAAAAAGGGTTTTGTTGTCTTTCTTGTTTCATTGGCGATACGTGAAGAAGGAAGGACGAAGAATGAGGAAAGCATATTTTTTGGTATTATTCCTCCTGAGCATGGCTGTAGAGGGAAGAGGTGCTGCAGGGAAAGTAAAGGACTCTGCAGAGACTCCCAAGCTTGTCAAGGCAAGCAAAGTCAAAGAAACCGACACCATTCCTGAAAAAAGCGGCTCTTCTTCAGGATTTCTAGGTAACCTGCTGGTGGTGCCTATGGATGGGAGTCACTGGGTGGGCATAAAAGCCATCGCACAAGAAATGGGTCGGCGTGGACACAGGGTCACTGTGGTGATTCCGGAGATCAGCATACGGATGGGTCCGGGGAAATACTATGACACAATCACCTATCCTGTTCCCTACGACCGGGACTACATGGATTTTGTGATGACCTCGCACAAGGACATCTTGGAGAAATCGTCGCAGCCTTTCATGGAGAAGATGAAGAAGATGTTCAGTCAGATCCAGAAAATTACAAACCTTCTTCACACCACGGCAGAGAGTCTTCTGTTCAACGCCAGCCTCATTTCTCATCTGGCACAGCAGGTGAGTGAACGTACGACACGGGGACAGATTTTTAGATTATGCACAAAATATATGGTTTTTGCTTAAGTTTTATCAAGTAAGCTGCCTGAACTACCCTCTGAAAATGCAGTGTAGACATTTTCAAGGAATATTTCCGTATGTTGCTTGGGATTCCTTGTTTTAACGGCGGTATTTTTATTTGTTTTTACCTATTTATTTTCTGCTATTCAATTTTTTAGGCATTTCCTAAAATAATATCAGGATACAACGCCCAAAACTTATTGACCTATCAATTTATTGTGTCTCAAATTCATCAGAAACCACAAACTTCAATTAATTTTATTTTATTTTATGTAAAAATCCAACACAAGGTACTGAGTATTTTTCTCCTCTCCTTCTGTCTCAATTCCTTCATAGAATTTCGATGCAGTCCTGACTGACCCAATGGTCCCAACGGGCCTGATTGTTGCTCACAAATTAGGTAAATTACCCCTCTTTGGATTATGTGGTGGGTTTGTTCTTCTATGCAACGGGTCACACATGTTTTAACAAGTTCCACATCAGGACAAACTGCATTCCTAATGAAACTCCACATGAAATCAGACACCTGCACGCCGACATAAAGAGGTAGCTGAGGATTCTAACAGGCACCTAAACTTTTCAAATGCAAGTTATGGTTCAAAATATTCCTAATAATAAACCTCCATCTTTCTTTCTGTACCTAATGAAAGTAAATTATTTTCTTCACAATTAATGGATAAGATGACTTAAACCAGAATATTATGTAAAAGTCCACTGGTTTCAGTTACTCAACCACCAAGTGAGACACATTATATAGATTAGTTAAATAAAGACTCATGTTTTAGCTCCTTTATTTCTCTTAAGCATGATGAGTTTCTGCTATCAGCCAATAAAAACACAACATTTAAGATTAGATTACTTCAGATCAAAAAAATTCAATAACATAAATGTGGACTTAATGAAAAGTATGTTTAAAACCTGCTTAAAAGTTATTTTCTGAAGGTATGCTTTAAAATCTGTACTTTAATATGTAATCTCTACTATCGTATTATTATAATTAATGTTATTTAAGTCCCCTGTGGGATCAATAAAGTATTGAATTGAAATAGTCCCATTTTCTTCTGTGAGCCAGTGGTTTATGAGTCGTGTGTACCCTAAATCACTTCCAGGTATCCCCACCATTAACTTACTGCGGGGGGTTCCCTGCTCTCTGGATATGAAGGCTTCAGGGTGTCCCTCCCCACCTTCCTTTGTGCCTCGATTCTTCACCGGATACACAGACAGGATGAACTTTAAGGAACGCGTCATTAACACTTTGGTAAGTACAGCTAATGGAAAATAAAAGATGGCTGCTCTAGCTTTGAATCAAAACATTTAGTATAACTTTTTAATGGGTACAAAAATTTACCCATTAAAAAGCTTTGTGTCAACTCTGAGAGATCAAAAAACAAAACAACATAGTTTTTCATTTTGATTTTGCAATGCCAGGGTTTGTACACCATAGCCATGGTCCTGCTTCATTTCTGACCCACAGGTGGCGTTACTGGAGCCGTTGTTTTGCCGGCTGATGTTCTGGCACTTTGACCAAATAGCCTATGACTTCCTGGAAGAGAAGGTGAGCGTGGCAGAGCTATTTGCCGAGTCCGCTATCTGGCTTCTCAGGTAGGATGTTGCAAGATTATTTTTCTACCTTATTTTTAGATAAGGTCATCCTTCCCTGAGGCCTAAAGACTTAGGCAACAATGAAGAAATGTGTGTTAAGTTAGAATTTTCTTGTGATTCTGTTCACACAAGGATTGACTTTACACTGGAGTTTCCCCGCCCTCTCATGCCCAACGTTATCCTGGTCGGTGGGATCAATTGTAAAGTGAGGAACCCTCTTCCTGAAGTGAGACATTTTTACCAAATCTCAAACTTTTTCTGACGTTCCTCCTTAATGCCTCTGGGTGAGAAGAAACGTTAAGAAGCTCTGATGTGTGTGTTTTCAGGATTTGGCGTCGTGGTTATCAGGCGAGCATGGGTTTGTGGTGTTCACTCTGGGCACCATGGTTTCAGAGATGCCAGATTACATCACTTCTACCTTCCTGGATGCCTTCAGCCAGATTCCACAGAAGGTACAGGGACACTCGTGGATAACAATATAAAGTCATCTGGTGCCTTGTAAGCCACTTATATTCCTTAAATATGCTCATATTGTTTTGTCACATTGCCATTTAAAGAGCCAGACAAAGCGCAAAACTGTGAAGTAAATGGGAAAAAAAAACAAAACATGATTTACAACAATACAAATAATTGAAAGTGATCTATTTGAGTCCAGCTAAATGTAAGTATGTAATCTCAAGGTTTCCAAACTAAAAGCTTTATTAACACTTCTGATAGGTCATATGGAGGTACACTGGCAAGTTTCCATCCAGAATCCCAGATAACGTGAAGATAATGAAATGGGTGCCTCAGAACGACCTGTTAGGTAGTAAATCTATCTAAAACCTCTAGGAGGACGACATATCACTGCTCAGACATATGAAACATCTAATGTTGTAAATAAATTGATGTCTTTTGAAAGCTCATCCTGGAGTTCGAGCTTTCATCACTCATGCCGGCTCACACGGGACATTTGAGGGCTTGTGTCACGGTGTTCCCATGGTTTTGGTACCACTGGCCGCAGAGCAGCCCGACAACGCACAGAAGATAGCGAGCAGAGGAGCCGGAATCGTACTGGATATCACCTCTGTCACCACGGAAACCCTGCTGAAGGGGCTGAACGAGGTCATCAATGACCCCAGGTAGGAGGCGGCGCAGCTGAAACATTCCTCTCTTTCAGCTGTGAGTTCATCCTGTTCCATCCCTGTGTGTGTGCGCTCAGGTACAAAGAGAACATCCAGAAGCTTTCGGCTCTTCACAACGACCGGCCGATCGACCCTCTGGATCTGTCAGTGTTCTGGACTGAATTTGTGATGCAACATAAAGGAGCAAAACACCTCAGACCTGCTTTCCATGACCTGTACTGGTTCCAGTACTACAGCCTGGACGTCATGGCCGTACTAGCTACAGTGCTGCTGGTTTTTGTGGCACTGACATTTAAATGTCTGAAGCTCTGCCTCAGAAAACTGAGCAGGAAGAAGAAACAAGAGTAGTTGGTGTTGCAAATTCTCCGTTTCCACCCTTATCAGTGTGAGGAAAGGAAGTTTTAAAAACGTGGTAAAAATCATGATTTTAAAACACCATAAAGAATAAAAATAAATCTATGGAGGGGATCAAAAGAAGCTTTATTAAACTGAAAATACAGATCATCATAAAATCAAATTACATAATGCTGGCTCCAAGGAGGAGAATCAGTGTCCTCCTTTCTTTGGGGGAAACATGGTGTACTCTATTGCCAGAGCAACAGTGAACGCAGCGAAGCCCCATTTAAATCCTCGGAAGAGAACTTCCGACAGAGTGACCGCGCGCGCGAAGCCGCCCGAATACCTCCATGCCTCGTTGCTGCAGGAGGACAGAGACGGAAGGGAGAAGACAGTCAGACATCATCTTAGATACAAACAAAACGTTGTTAGAGTGCCAGATTTATCCAGCATAAAAATTAGACTTTGATAAATTGATTGGAAACTCTGTTAAGCTGCAATAATATAGTTACATAAACCTTAAAGTGATAGTTTATTAAAACAACGTTTGACTCAGTTTTGACATCGAGGTTTCTTTGATGGGAGTCACTCAGCATCCTGTATTATGATTTGCAAATATTTGCCAACTCTGCCTCACATATCCATCAGACATTAGCTGAATTTACATTACAAATGTGCAGAAAAATGTCAATAGTCATAGACATGTCTAATTTTGATATGGTCAAAACCCACCTGATTCTAGCACCAGAACCTTTTTTTTTTAATTGAAAATCAAGTTTTGTTGAAATTGGCATGTTGCCATTAAGCAAATTTATTTTCAAAATGTCAAATTGTGCAATTATATGGTCAATGGAAATGCAGCGTGGGAGAACATCTTTTGTTCACAGCCTCCTACAGCTGACTCACAATATGTCCTGTACAATTTAGCTCTGGACTTTGAGTAGGACATTCCCAACCTTGCCTGTTTGCCTCTGTCATCTTCCTCAAAGTTTTGCCTGAGAGGAAGGTTCAGTGAAAAAAAAAAAATAAATAAAAAATAAAAAAATAAAATATACCAGATTAAATAGTCCTGTCAGGACAAATTTGAAGACCAATTCTGTCTTGAATTCATTTAATGTACTAAAGTTGGCCTGTAGTAACATACAGGTTATGGGTTATGGGATATGGGTTGTAGCAACAACCCATATCTCGGGTTGTTACTACAACCTGAGATATGACCTGTAGTAACATACTACAGGCCAACTTTAGTACATTAAATGAATTCAAGACATTTTAAGGCCTTAATTTAGAAATAGCAACTTAAGACTTTCTAAGGATGCACAGACCCCCTGTTATTTCTGTTTAATCAGATTCAACGCAATCAATGGCAGGTGTAAACACAAGATAACTTAATGCTGAAACTGAATCAAAAGTTGCTTTATAATATTAGTTTAAACATTCACTGGGATGTTGAAACTTTTTATTTTTCATATTTGTTCCTTTAAGTTGTTGAACTGCAATTAACTTACTTACATCCCCCAGACATGTTTACATGTGTGTAGAGATACTGACCGTGCCCACGGGTCTTTGAGGCCCCTGGCTGCCAATCGCTGCTGCGTGAACTCCAGCGGGGTTCCTTCCACCTTCCACTGCCGCCAGTCCGGCATGGACATCTTGCTGTGGCCGTGATCACCTCCCATGCTGAAAGCAAAAATGTTTCTCAGTTCTCATCTTGTTGGTGCTTCAAATGCTCTTTGTGTTCTCCTTTCATAAAATAAATAAACTCTCCGGTTGTAAATGTGTTTGGTACAACTCACTGTAAATAAGATAAATGATGAAAACAAGCAGAAGAAATCTTCACAAACATGGTTAAAATGCTAAGTTTATACGTGTTTTGTTTTTGTGCTCTTCTATGACAGCAGCTGTATCACGTTTACAAATTTCATTATGTTCTTTAGAAACTCTTCTATTGTGACGTTCTTCCAAAACATAATTTATGAAGATGCCTTTTATGCTTTTTAATCTGTTTTAGGGAAGCTTAAAAGGTACGTGAATAAAACAAATTAAATTACAGTTTGAATTATTTTCCTTTTCACTTAATTTTGTGTATTTTATTACCAGTGTTAATCTGCCCATATTATAGATGCTACAGCTTTTTAGCAGAAAAGTTGAAAAGAGGCCATTTTAATATGATACAACAGGAACCATAACTGTAATATATCAAAGCACAAAGATGTCGGTATACTACACACTTATCTACTTTTATTTATTTCTTTAGAAAAAACAATAGATGTACTCTTTCTGAAGAAAGTCGGTAATTTCTCAGTTAGCACGCTAACTAGAGTAGCCTATGATATCACAAATTCACTCCAAGACCTGTTTTAGCTCACTGCCTTGTTTGCGGTAATAATATGGAACCACAACCCGAGATATGGCAATAGAAATATCTATATAATGTAAAGCTTAAAAAAGATAAATAGATGTACCTGAACGGTTTGTTGTGACCTCTGCTGCTGAAATGAAGACTGCGACAATCAGCGGCACTTGACGGCAGAATTACGGCGAAGTGTTGGGGACAAAAAAACCCAACGTTTTCATAAAGCGCGAGCATACGTATAACATAATATGTTATTAGGTTTACATTTATTTACTGGAATAATAAATATTTTGCTTATGTAAAAAATAAAGTTGACCTTCATTAGAGTATACTCCACCAAAGATATGTCGATGTTACTTGGTTACCAACGTAGTATGAACTTATGTCCACATATTCACTGTTCTTGTTTAGGATAAAATAAGAAGTAAAATTCTTAAGATTCATGATTTAACACACAAATATAGATTTTGTTGTACACATATTAAAAATCCCTCCATATAGTTAGCTTTCACTACCACATGTAAATATACCATAACAATCCAACTAACACAAATTGATGATGAAGTCAAGCTGAAATACAGATGAAATTGATATAATTGATGAATGTATGGACACAGCTTAGAAAAGTGAATAAACAAGTAAATCAGGAAATTACAACTTTTTTCCTTCCTCTTCCCATCCTTATCCAGACCATAAAAATACAAAACTACTTATATTACAGACTTTTACTAATTTTTAGTCTCAGGCAAAAGTGCAGACTACCCATATTTTATTGTTTACATTTTTTAATCTCTTAGTGTTTAGCACTTTTTAAGTGACTAAACTTCCATTTGTAAAGCACCTGTGTGTTACGTAAAAAGAAGTATGGTATTACCTTCAAAATAGCTGAAAAATGCTAATAATTAAAATATTTTAGCATCGAATTCATCTATCCCAACAAAAAGTTACACTTACGTTGTTACTTCATTATATACAAATTTGCACACAATTTCCACTATAAACCACACTCCACATATATAAATTAGGTTCGATCATTAAGGGTCTGGTGTTTTACCACTGTGGCTGTACTTCTGAGGTACTTGCCATCTAACCATTTGCTGTTTGCATGTTCTAGAATGTATTAAAGTTTGCTTTGTGTCTTGAGCAGTTCCTTCAGAGCGTCCAGGTTTTCCCCCTGTGGAGCTTCAGGCCATGAGCTGTGCTCTGCACACAAAACACACAGAAACAATCAGCTCACTATAAAGTGCATCGTATAAAGACAACCTTAGAAAGTCGACAATATAAGTGTGGCTGTGATAACCAGCTGCACATACCAGGTATCTCCCACAGGGCGTGATAAAGGCTCTGTCCTGCATCCACTCTCAGGGTAGCCCCAGAGATGTACGAGGCACCGGGAGACAGCAGGAAACATACAGCAGAGGAGATCTGAGCAAAGAAAAGTAGATTTTCATAGCTTTAAATGTCTTATAATTAAATATCTCTGCACATTAATTTAAATACATTGTACCATGGGTATTTTTTTTACAAGAATCATGAGTTATAATACAAACTTTCTGGGCTGATTAATATTTCTGTCTTCAATTAGCAGTTTCATTGGATTATTCGTACCTTCCAGCAATCTTTGACACATGTCTTTACCCTAAGCAATAGTTGTTGACGATTGTGGTTGTATTTTAAAAAGTACACACCTCTTCTGGCAGTCCTAGTCTCTTTGCAGGGCTAAGTGGGATGGACATCTTGAAGAGGTGAGGTCCAAGTTCCTTATAGTTCTCCATTGCAGTTTTGGAGAATATTGTTCCCTTAAGCCAAACAAATACCCCAGTTACTGCAGCACAGAAACATAGACTCTGATCAGTTCGTAGCGTCACGTACAGGTGCCACAGCGTTGACTCGGATTCCAGAGGATGCCCACTCGATGGCCATCGTCTTGGTTAGGTTATCCACGGCTGACCTCGCTGCTCCTGTGTGCCTGTCAGCGAGAGGCAACGACAGGACGTAGCAGGAAGTGTGCAGAAACTTTTCACATTGTTAGTCAGTTTGTTGGCGAACGCGTCTTACGCCATGCCTGGGAAGCCTTTCCACATGTCAGCGATGATGTTGATGATCACTCCTCCATGCTGCTTCATCCAGGCTGTGTAGACTGAGAGAAGGGACATAGGGCGGTCATGTAGAGAACTCAGTGTCTTGACGCAAGTATTTGTATGCCTTGAACTTTTTCACAAGAAAACAAATGTCTGTCATGGCTGTCAGATTTCAAAAATCTGTTATTCATCTACTTCTCAATTGCATTCTACTCTATCATGGTCCATCACAGTTAGGGCTCAAACAATTAATCAGGATGAATTGATTTTTGAAATAATCATCAACTAATTTAGTAAACAATCACGTGTTAACTGGAGTATACAAACTCTAAAAACAGCAAGAAAAAATATATACATTTAGCATTTAAGATTTTTTAAAATACTGCTTTGTCTAAAAGCAGTTCTACATAGAACATTTGCATCTATTAATGCTTTTCTAATATTGTATAAAAATGACTCAAGTGATTAGATGAAAAATCTGCAAAATGTTCCAATACTTTTTATCTGAAGGTGCCTGACTTGAACTTACCCTCCTTGCAGCAGTAAAAGGTTCCAGTCAGGTTGGTGTCTATCACAGCCTTCCAGCCTTTGGAGGCTATCTTCTCCACTGGGCTGCTGAACTGACCCCCTCCATTGTTCACCAGATAGTCTATCCTACCATACCGCTTCAGCACCGAAGACACAAGAGCCTTCACCTGTCACAAAAAAACCCCAAGTCCAGTTAAAGCAGTCACTCGTGCTGCTGAGCAGATGAGTATGCAGAGAGGTCTGAACATGTTCTCTCGCCTCGTCCTCACTGCGGATGTTACAGGGAACCGTGGTGACACTAGCAGGGCTGCTGGGGGGGATCTTCTGCCTCATCTCCTGAGCCGCTGCCTCCAGCCTTTCTGCCTTCCTGCTGGAGATCACCACGCTGCAGCCTGCAGACAGAGCAGCAGCAGGAGGTCAGAGGGGTCACGAGACATGATGATATGAAGCTGATGATCAGCAAGTTACCGCGAGGTCATGACAAGTCCTTATGTTTATGTAAATATGCCTCTGAATCTAAAATTAATTTGCGCCTCTTCTGATGAATAAGACTGTAAAACAAACGTTGTGTTACGTAACAACGGCACTGCACGTGCTTACTTGGACTGATGGGGTACATTCAAAGTTAATTATTACCTAAAAAACATGTATCTGTAGTGTAGTTCATTTGGCGGTGGTCACCAGATAGGTATTGAAAAATCTATTGAGTTTGTTAAAAGTAAATTAACTTTTTTTTTTTTTTTAACAAACTCTCACCTAGCTCGAGCAGCTCCGCAGAGATGGCTTTACCGATCCCGGTCCCTCCGCCGGTCACTATCGCTACTTTGTGGTTGAACAAGCCCGGTCGGAAAACACTGGACGCCGCCATACTTGTTTCTACTAGGAGTCAGCTGGAGTGACGGCTCTTACCTGAGTAACAGCGCCCCCCTCCGGACACACTCCGTAACCGTCCATTTCGTTTTGAAGACTTTTTTTTGCTTCGGAAGAACTTTTCAAAGGATTTTAAACTGAATGAACATTATTTTTACATACTAAATGAAGCACAGCAAGCTAATAGTGTCACGATTTGAATATTGTTTTGCAAGCAGTTCACCAAAGTGTGAGAAAGAGTAAAATAGCACAATTAACATTTTCCCCAACATCAGAATCGGTAAACCTGACAGAAAAAGAAAAACGGGGTGAGGTCACTAAAAAGTGAATTTCACTAGGATGTTTTTGAGTTAACTTGTCCTGCCAGATTTCACTAACATTGATCTTTCCCACAAACATGAAATTAGTTAAATTTCTCTTTAGTATACTGCTGATCGATCCCTCCAAACTTCATCATATAAAAAACTAATTCCGTACACTGAAAAACCCTCAACGCTGCAGCATGTAACATTTATAGAAATTGTTTTTCACGTATTTGTTAAAACTGATACTTTGTCGTGACAGTCTCGGAGATAATGTTGAAAAAATACAACTGAACCACAGCCTCTCTGCCAACTTTACCGTTTAGATTTGACAGATTTTAAATTGATCCAGAAGCCTGAGCAGTTAATCTACTAGGGTCTTAATTACACCAGTATTATTGGTTAAAAAAAGACTACTGAAGACTAAACCGTCCTTCATTTTCAATCCTGAAAATTGAAATGACAACTTTTCAATTTAAAATCTGCTGTGCTAACACACTTCTTCTTCATAACCAATCAGTGAAGTGTCATTCATGAAGAAGCACCATCACAAGTTTTTCATTAGGACACAAACATTACAAAGACACAAGGATCTCCGCTCCAGACTTTTATTTTTTGATGTTGAGGCCATGTCTAGTTCGGCTGAAATAATAGAAAACAAAGTCCCAAATCCAGCAGGTGTGCTCTGGTTTACTGGTCCTTCAGTTCCTTCAGTCTCCTGATTGCAGACTTGACTGTGACAGCAGACGTTGTGCTGCAAGAAGCAGAAGAGACGAATATTAAAAACGCTGAACATCCCCAGAGTCAAGGTAATGAACGTTATTCAGTTATTCTCCATCAGCGTAAAGAAACGCTGATGCGACTCTGTTGTAGATATTTTTACAGTTTTGCTGTAGAAACTGCTATATTTTGGACATTTTGTACCAACCACAGTTTAATTTATACCTAGTTTGGGAATATTTAACCCTGTTTTGGCAACAGCTCATTTAAAATCAATCTACAAGGAGTTGAAGTTATGTGTAACACAAACAATAAAAAACACGTATTGAGGTCAATATCAAATCTTTAAAAAAAAAAAAAAAAAAAAAAAAAAAAATTATGTGCCATGATAAAGGCAATGCTTAATCCTATTGGTATAAAACATGGAAGTAAATCGGCATGAAATGGTCACATATGAGTAAGTACTAAGAATTCAGTAAACAAATAAGTGAATTTACAACGATTAAGATGCCAAACAGCAAAAACAACAAAACCAATCACTTAGGGCTGGGTGTAATGGATTTAAACAAATAAAATAAAAATAATAAAAATTCTAAAGAATATGAGATTACAAATGACAATATATTTTCAAACACTAGCTTTTATCTCCATCATTCCTTCCGTGAGAATTTTTAACTACAAGAATAAAGGCAGAAAATGTTTTACAAAAAAAGTTGTTTTGATGAAAAACAAAACTTGCATTAGGATTTGTGAGCAACTCAGTCCGTGTAGTTTTCTTAGAAATACACTCATTTATAAAATAATGCCCTGTTCTGATATTAATTTGACGCTGATTAAGATTATACATTTCTTTATAATATGTGGGAAAACATGTGCCAAAGTATACATTCATAAGATCCTCAACAATTCTCATGTTGATTTTGAGTTGGATTACTCATAAAATTAATTTATCCTCGTAATATTTTGACTATCGTCGCACAAGAGCATTCTTGCAATAGTATGTCTTTGTTGTCGTCATTAAATGAAAAATAGCAAAGTATCATCCTGGCCCTAATATTCCATCGTAGAGTTCACCTGAATTTATAGTCGAAATAAATAGAAGTTGTAAAACACGCTAGTCAAACAAGACGGCGGCTTTGGGCGTGAAAACATCTCTACTCTTATGGAAACACAAGTTCATTGGTGAAAGCGAAAAAATTCTTGATTTTCCAAAAATGAAATCTGCAAAAACCAAAAATTTAATCAATCAAAAATCGACTCATCGCCTGGTCCTATAATCACTCCTTTATTTATTTATTTTTTTGCAATAAACGGTCACTCTATAAGGATCATTTTGTCATTTACACAAGTCCGTCCAGCTAAATCCCAGGCTTGGGCGTGCTTTCTGCGCATGAGGTCAGAATTGAGGACGGCGTGTGAATAACAATTTAGTGCCCTTCACATGAGGAATATGAACAACATATGTGATACTGGCATGGCTTTAAAGTCCAAATGCATTCATTTCTTTATCAATCAAAAAAATAGCTATGTTCCATCCTTGACGCCAGTAAACCCAAAAGCCATCTGTTTTAATAACCATCTAAAAGAATCAGAAGTGGCTGTGAGGTTCCAACAAATGACACTTGAGTTAAGACATGCAAAGAGCTGGGGGAGAGAGAAACTACATACTTGTACGTCCAGGCACCACCAGCCACAGTTTTCCTGCAGGACCCACAGTGCCAGATGCCAACAGCCCTCCTCTTCATCTTGGTCTGTGGATAAAGAGTACAATAATGCTGTCAAGTTCTCCAAGTAAAACATCCTCACTTTGTTTCCGTACAATTTATACTGATGCCATCCCAGAGGCGTTTACTTTAACAACCCCCAACTTTCAGTGATTCCACTTACCTTGCCGCAGAAAGAGCAAGTGTATTTAGCATGCTGAGAGATTTCAATCTTCTTCACCATCTTCCTCAGCGACGCGCCATAACGCGTGCCATATTTACCAACAATCCCCACCTTCTTAGTGCGCTTGGCCTGGTGGTGGTGGTGGTGGGGGGGAAAGAAACAAAACGATTGTTAGGGAGAAATGTACCATCTTCACTGTGATGAGCAGGGTTCATGCAACTCCTGGGATTATTAGGTAACGCGCATTTTCAGTTCATCCTGTGTAAGTTCGGTACATCGGTACAATATATTAGCTTAATACTAGGACCAGAAAAGTCAAAGCACCTGGAAACTGGACTAAACGGGCTACAGTAGTTATTCATACAGGCTAGAAGCCTCTCATAAACAGGGTAACCCACTCATTTAAACGCAGCAATTTCAGACCCGTTTTTATACGGTGACGCGTAATTGAATGTGTTGTTGTACCTCTGAAAAGACGAGGAAGCTATTTTCTAGGGACTGACGTTAAGCTGCCGCTAAATATAATGTAACTAGCCGGCCTGGTTTGATGAGCAAAGCTAAGGCGGTAGCCATTTCTGTGTCAATGGCTCCGAAAAACATCGCGTTTACAGTCGATACAACCACCAAACAAACACAAATAATATTCTGGACGGGCAATCATGATCCCCACAAAACTTCAGCAGGGGCAAAAATATTGATTATACCACTAGAATCATAAGATTGATTCGGATTATGAAAGGAGCAGGCTAGGCTCACCATCGTTTCAGTGGAGACGTAGGTCCAAAGAGGGAGAGGTTAGTGCGCAAGCGCGATTTACTGAAGTTGCTCGAGAGGCATTGTGGGATTTTGAGTGTTTAGACAAGACAAATACTAACTTCACGCTTTTAATATTTACAAAACTAGGGTTGTTTAAAATAATTGACTAAGGCATTTACTAGCATACAAGGTTCACAAAAGAGACTAAATAAATTGCTAAAGTTTTTTTTCGTCTTTTGAGCCGTAGTAACCAAGGACGCGTTGTTGGTAACGCGCATGCGCATTAATGTTAAAGACGCCAGCTTTTCCCTGTGCAGCGGAGTTGAGATGTTTCTACGCTGATGCTGTCATGAAGCAACCTGCGTTGTTTTTAAATATACATTTCATTGACAATATTCCTAATTTTTAGGGCGTGTAGGCGATAGGCAATGAAGCTAACACGGAAACTTGTTCTTGCTAAGGCTAAGGCCTCAGACTTGGAAAGCGTGAAGAAACTAAACTGCTGGTAAGAGCTTAAACTGATCACATCTTTAATTTACACCTTCTTTACATGTTAACACCCGTGTTGGTTAAGATGTACTGGCTCCATGTGTTGAGTCTGTACTAATATTATGCTACGTGTTGTTTTGCAGGGGATGCAACCTGACTGACGTGAGTAGGCAAAGTTGTGTGGATACCTCAGTAAATTATGTATACTTACAAAAATAATCATCTCCATCGAATTGTGTAATTGTATCTCGTTTCAGATTTCCATATTCTCTCAGATGCCCAGCATTGAAGTGTTGACTCTCAGGTTGGTCAAGTAAACTTTGCTTTCTTTCTCCACAACCTTCTTGTTAAAGTTATGAACCAGGCTTTTCTGTTAAATCAGCAAAAGTCACTTTAAATATCACTTGTCACGTATAAAACAACATATCGTGGTCATTTTTTAAGTTTGTTTTACTGTTGTAAATGATTTATTCAAGGTAACATAAGACATAGAGGGACAGATCGGTTCTTTTTGAACACCCCCATTTTAATTTTCTTTCCATCACATGTTCAGAACTATTTATGATTTGCTTACTACAGTACTTTCTCTCTGCAGTGTGAACAACATCTCATCTCTATCTCCCTTGGCTGGCTGTCCGTCTCTGAGTGAACTGTACCTGAGGAGGAACATGATTCCTACACTATCAGAGCTCTGTCATCTGCGTCCGCTGACGCGTCTCCGAGTTCTGTGGTTGGCCGAGAACCCCTGTTGCGGTACCGACCCGAGTCGGTATCGGCTCACCGTACTGCGTTGCCTTCCTCGACTCCAAAAGCTCGACAATCAAGGTGATTTTGTTATGTTTCTGCGCATGACAAAAATACTCTCTGGCAGAGAGCAATTGTAGCCTAGATGTTGTTTTATTTTCTCATAATCTTTGGGATGTACAGTAGCTGGGTCACACACAGTTCCTGCAAAAGTAAAAATAGTCATTGAACTTTTCAACATTTTGTCAGGTTACAACAGAAAACGTCAAGTTATTTTATTGCAAACAAAATGAAAAAGTTTTTGTATCGACCCTTCTCTGCAGTTAATGTTTAAAAATTTTTGTATGCATGTGTAAATTACACAGTTGGGCAAAACAATTTCTGTAGGCAGTTGTGGCACACCACACTTTTCAGATTTCGGTTTAACTTGCATCTGTAATGTGATAAAATGGGGTAAAAAAAAATTCTTTCAAAGGTTGCGAACACTTATGCGAGGCACTTTCCTTGTCTGACCTTTTGTGTGTTCAGTGGTAACCGAGGAAGAGATCGCGCTCGCTCTAATGGAAGGTGACGAGGTCAGCACACCCACCGGCAACATCCACAACCAGCTTCCCAACAACGGCCTTCCAGATGCAGAGATGGAGAACGATCCACTAAACTACAACATGGAGGAGACCAAGTAGGTTTTGATCACTTTTCACAACAGTTTTAACCTTTACCAATAAAGACGTTTCTGAAATTCTATTTTTT